TATGTATTTGCAAAACTGTTCAAATAACTGTTTAATCTGTTTGACCTTTGGGAAAACTTGACCTATGCATATGAAATGCTTGTGAGGGGGTGAAGTGCAGAGACTCAGAACAACAGGAAGTTGTGCAGATATAGACTGAGATGACTAAAAACTGTCTTCAAGAAAAGTTGTATAAGGTCTTATTGTTTTGGCTTCAGATTATCAACATTTATCAATAGTATAGGAAATGTTTAGCTTTCTATAATCAATATTATAATCTGCATTAGCAAATGTACCTACATGATTATCTCAGTATCATATGCTTTATAATTTCCTTTTGTTTTAACCATTTCACTTGTCTTTAAGAATATAGGAGACATGTGTAGGCTGTAAAAATCAGACAGGAAACCACACAGAACAGGAAGTAGACCAGGTAACCTAGCAACGCTGGCGCTCTTCCTGAATCTGCAGACTACAACTAACTGTTTATAATGTATGTAGGAATGTAATGTCTAGGTTAAAAGGTCAGGATGTTGCACTGTGAATGTCACAGACCAAAAACGGCCTGGTGACAAGATCACCAAATGAGGGGTCAGGACGAGGTCAACAAACCAACCAAAGAGCGAGGATGAAGGACAATGCGGATGACGTCAGATCTACCATCATGACTATTATAAATTCTCTGTGCAGAGGAAACTCGTGGTTCCGCCTTCCTGCCGCAGCCATGCACTGACTTCTGTGTAATGGGGCTTCAGATAGAGACGGAATCCAGAGCTCTGTATTGCTCGTCTTGAATATTGTTTTCTTTATCAAGATTGTAATAAATATTTTAAAGGTTGTTCTGACTTCGACCCTTCCTCAGAAATGGACACTTAGGTCCTTTCATGGCATATAAAAATGCTTTTCTATTTGTAACTTTTAATTAAGTCGGGACATAAAACGTTTTCAATTGCGTGACTAGTTGTGACTTTCGAGCTAAAAGTGTGGCCAGGTTCAAGCAAAAAAAAAAAAAAGTGATGGTAGTTTGTGCTGGTTCATAAAGCTTCTGTCAGGTAGTGTTTAGCTGCTCCTACCCCTTCATATTTCTTCTTCAAGGCCCCAGCATTGTAGAGGGATGTGGCGATCTTGTTGAGGAAAAACTCAGAAACACCCACGTAGGCCATCAGGTTGGTTTCACTAAAGACTGGATCCACACCAGTGTTTACTGCAGCAATGTCCTCACCTTGTTGGTACACTAGACCCTGGCAAACACACACAATCACGAGTTTTAGACACATGCAAAGGTATTTAATTTTACAGTGGTGTAAAGTAACTACAAGTACATTTACTCACGTACTGTACTTAAGTACAATTTTGTATTTTGCTCGTGTTTCCTTTTTGTGCTACTTCGAACTTTGACTTCACTCCATTGTAAAGACAAATATTGTACTTTTTACCCCACTGTTTATTTTTTAACATTAGTTATTTTCCAAAACCAGATTAATACAAAAATTTGTGTAATCATAAGAATTTATTGATGTGCAGGGAAAAAAATATAACAAGCTATGCAGCAGTTTGTGACATACTTCAAATTATAATGTGTTAAGCCAGGTAAAACTATCTCCCCCATCACCAGCTAAAATGTGATGTACACAATACATCAGTCATTAGTAAATAACAATATACATTAATGTATATGAGTACTTTCACTTAAATATCATTTTGAATGCAGGACTTTTACTTGTATTTTTACAGTGGTATTGCTACTTTTCCTTAAGTAGGGGATCTGTGTACTTCTTCCATCACTGTAATTTTATGTCATCAGCGGTCATATGATGCGAGTCAACTCCTGCACCGAGTCATTTTCTCACTTTGAATGACAGATCGAGGGTGGTGGCTGTCACTTGGACATCTCTGGTCACAGAGTAGAGGAGGTTGATACCAAGGCCCGGGAACACCTCTGCACTCATGGGAATGGTGTCCAGCATCTGGTTGACTCTGGGCAGGCCAAACCTGTTCACAGCAGGACAGAACTGCACACACACAGGTAACAGGGCTGAACAGTTGCTGATTCTTAGGTGCACTTTGCTCTCTCTAGACAGTCGGGATAAATGCAAGTCATCCAGCCAAACTGTAACTGAGTTTCCTGTTTTCGTTAGTCACAGTTGAGGAAACTGTTTAGACTGAAACACAGATGAAGCTGTGTGTACAGGTATCTGATCACATTAGGTTTTCATACTACATGCCCCGGACGATGGATTTTTAGCTGCAGGCCAAGACATCTGCGCAGTGTCTGAAAAATAAATGCGAGAAAGACAAACTACCAGAGGAGACAGTGACCGAATCGATCATTAGTTTACCTAAAAGGTTATCATGGTTACTGTTCATCTGCTACTGACAACAGACTGAAAGAATATTAACAAAGGCCTCACATCTCTGGACACAACAACCACAATGTGGCATTAAACGCAGCATCAATTTGTTGGTCAGCGCCAACACTCGATGGTCTCTTTGGTCTAATACACAGCCTTCAAATCTGTGTGACAGTGACATTTAACAGTGTATACAGTAACACTGCTGTGCTTGTAGAAGCAGTAATGCTGCTGATGAACACACTGTTTGTGTCAACACACTCTGGGCAGCTACATGTGAAGAAAATGAGAGGAAACAAACCAGAACTCCGAAGAAGTGGCGCAGACATGGCTGAACTATGTTCCACACGAGGCTACAAACAAACAACAGACATCATTAAGCCAAGAACTTGGAGGTTCCAGTCACTGTATCAACAACAGCTTCAGACCAAACCTGAGTGTGCCAGTGGACAGCAGTTGCATTTTGTCAGCAGAGGCCTGGCAGTCTGGTATCGCCACCCTCAGATGTCCTTGTTCAGTTCGGATCAGACTGACTTCGATGTTGACGTTCACACCTCCAGCTTCAAAAACAGATGATCCTCTGTCCTGACTGAAAAATCAAACACAAAGATACTGAACACTTGAAACAAAGCTGTGCTCACAGTGTCAGCAGTACGTTATCACTAAGGTTAGGTTAATCAACAGCGACAACAATACTGTGAGGTCTAGACCTCACTGTGCGCAAAGTGCCTTGACATGATTTTTGTTGTGATTTACCGCTATACAATTAAAGAAGGAAAGGGCCAAAGTTATTGATCAGCTTGATTTTAAAGCTATAAAGATAGAAACTCAAGTTACAAAATCTTGGTGTCATAACCGACTCAGACCTGAGCGTCACCAGTCACATCAAGGTCATACAGTGGTGTGAAAAAGTGTTTGCCCCCTTACTGATTTCTTATCTTTTTGCATGTTTGTCACACTGTAATGTTTCAGATCGTCAAACAAATTTATATATTAGTCAAAGATAACACAAGTAAACACATCATGCAGTTTTTAAATGAAGGTTTTTATTATTAAGGGAAAACAAAATCCAAAACTATAGAGCCCTGTGTGAACAAGTGTTTGCCCCCCTGTCAAAACACTGGTTTATCGCACCTGAGTTCAATTTCTCTTGCCACACCTGTTCGCAATCAAGAAATCACTTAAATAGGACCTGCCTGACAAAGTGAAGTAGACCAAAAGATCCTCAAAAGCTAGACATCATGCCGAGATCCAAAGAAATTCAAAAACAAATGAGAAAGAGAATAATGGAGCTCTATCAGTCCGGAAAAGGTTATAAAGCCATTTCTAAAGCTTTGGGACGGCAGCGAACCACAGTGAGAGCCATTATCCACAAATGGCGAAAACATGGAACAGTGGAGAACCTTCCCAGGAGTGGCCGGCCGACCAAAATTACCCCAAGAGCACAGCGACAACTCATCCAAGAGGTCACAAAAGACCCCACAACAACATCCAAAGAACTGCAGGCCTCACTTGCCTCAGTTAAGGTGAGTGTTCATGACTCCACCATAAGAAAGAGACTGGGCAAAAATGGTTTGCATGGCAGAGTTCCAAGACAAAAACCACTGCTGAGCAAAAAGAACATAAAGGCTCGTCTCAGTTTTGCCAGAAAACATCTTGATGATCCCCAAGACTTTTGGGATAATACTCTGTGGACAGACGAGACAAAAGTTGAACTTTTTGGAAGGTGTGTGTCCCATTATGTGTGGCGTAAAAGTAACACCGCATTTCAGAAAAAGAACATCATACCAACAGTAAAATATGGTGGTGGTAATGGGATGGTCTGGGGCTGTTTTGCTGCTTCAGGCCCTGGAAGACATGCTGTGATAAGTGGAACCATGAATTCTGCTGTGTACCAAAATATCCTGAAGGAGAATGTCCGGCCATCCGTTTGTGACCTCAAGCTGAAGCGAACTTGGGTTCTGCAGCAGGACAATGATCCAAAGCACACCAGCAAGTCCACTTCTGAATGGCTGAAGAAAAACAAAATGAAGACTTTGGAGTGGCCTAGTCAAAGTCCTGACCTGAATCCAATTGAGATGCTGTGGCATGACCTTAAAAAGGCAGTTCATGCCCGAAAACCCTCCAATGTGGCTGACTTACAACCATTCTGCCAAGATGAGTGGGCCAAAATTCCTCCACAGCGCTGTGGAAGACTCATGGCAAGTTATCGAAAACGCTTGATTGCAGTTGTTGCTGCTAAGGGTGGCCCAACCAGTTATTAGGTTTAGGGGGCAAACACTTGTTCACACAGGGCTCTATAGTTTTGGATTTTGTTTTCCCTTAATAATAAAAACCTTCATTTAAAACCTGCATGATGTGTTTACTTGTGTTATCTTTGACTAATATATAAATTTGTTTGACGATCTGAAACATTACAGTGTGACAAACATGCAAAAAGATAAGAAATCAGTAAGGGGGCAAACACTTTTTCACACCACTGTAACTAAATCGGCTGTTTATCATCTTAAACAAGCAGAGAGACCTCGTGTCCTGACAAGATCTAGAGGAACTCATTCAGGCCTTCATCTCCAGCAGGCTGGACTATTGTAACAGCTTTTTGTCTGGACTTCCCAAAAAGACTGTTAGACACCTTCAGCTCATTGAGATGCTGCTGCCAGAGGTTTAGCCAGAACCAGGGGAATGGATCAACCTGCCACCCAGTGCAGTGGTGTGGCTCACTGGGCTGTATTTATTAGTTTGGGGACAACAGTGGAGGTCAACAGCACAGACCAATAAGCAACACCTCACAGTTGTCACTTTTCTGTCAGCGTACAGGATTATGCTGAGTATGTGACCTGGTACATTAGTACCTGTATTGACAACATTGTGCCCACCATACAAGTCAGGAGGTTCCCCAACCAGAAGCCCTGGATAAACAGTCAGGTACGCCACATGCTGCGTGCTCGCTCTCACGCATTCAGATCAGGCGATGAGACGGAGTACAAAGCTGCAAAGTACAGACTGAGGAAAGCCATCACAGCGGCCAAGAGGCAGTACAGAGAGAAGCTGAATGGCTTCTATTCTACTGCTGACTCCGGACGGATGTGACAAGAGCCCGGTCACCTGCCTGAACGACTACAGGCCAGTGGCACTCACCCCAATTATTATGAAGTGTTTTGAGAGACTGGTGCTAGCCCGCATTCAGAGCAGTATACCGGACACCCTGGACCCCCTGCAGTATGCCTACCGGCCCAACAGGGCCACCTCAGATGCCATCGCGGCTCCCCTCCACTATTCCCTATCTCACCTGGAAAATGGAGACTTCTAGATCAGGATACTCTTCATTGACTACAGCTCCACCTTCAACACAGTTGTCCCCCACAAACTGTCTGCACCCCACCCTCTGTGACTGGCTCCTGGACTTTCTGACTGGCAGGCCCCAGACTGTCAGGATTGGCAATAGGACTTCAGCCAGCATTGTTACAAACACTGGCACCCCACAGGGATGTGTCTTCAGTCCCATCCTCTACACCCTGTTCACCCACGACTGTGTCGCCTCCCACAAAAACAACATCATCCTAAAGTTCGTGGACGACACCGCAGTGATAGGTTGCATCACTAGAGGGGATGAAGCAGCCTACAGGAGGGAGGTGGCCGGTGTGGTGTCATGGTGCAAGGACAATAATCTCAGCCTCAAGACGGATAAGATGAAGGAGATGATAGTGGACATGAGGAAGGGGAGGAGATCTCATCGGCCACTGTTCATCTGGGTGCTCGAAGTGGAGAGGGTGAGCAGCTTCAAATACCTGGGTGTCCACATCAGTGAGGACCTCAC